TTCTCAGAGCTGCCCTTTGATCATGAGCAGGTCACCCCACTCAGGGCTTTGATTTCTTCCTCCTTCAGGCAGGGATTCACCAACGTGTATTGTCTGACAAAGTCAGTGTATGTCTTTTGCTTTCCCTTTTTCTTTTGAAAACAAGTCAACAGCAGCTGCAGCATCTCCCAGCACCCACCTGTCCCAACAGGTCTTCAGTGTGGTGGCCAACCTCAAGCAAGTTTTCATTGTAAAAACTGGCTCTGGGCTGTGATATGAGCATGTCGGTGTGATGGAGAACCCCAAACTGCCCCCAGGATCACCCCTTTCGAGTTTTGTTTCGGATCTAGGCCTAAGGATGGGCAACTCAAGTCAGACACAGGCTGCCTACCAGCACAGGGGAAATGAATTACATCTCTGTTCATAGAGGTCCTGCCAGCCCACTCACTTTCCAGGGCTGGTCTGGGTTAGCCAAGGATCTGGGGCATTACATGCTGCCTGCTGATGTCAGTGGATTTAAGCCAGCAAGATAACTTCCCTGCTGACTTCACAAGTTTATGTGACAGCAGAGCTCATCGCAGGAGCCTCAGTCCATCTCTGGACCTAGTGACGTGGCACCTATCCAAGACCATGATTCCTTGCCACCTGCCTCTGCAGCATCCATCAGGGAGGATTTCCTGGTGTTTGAATCCAGGAAGTTAAGCAGCACTAATGCCTGCAAAAAAAAAAAAAAAAAAACAAACAACACCCCAAATCAGAATTCTCTGGAATTGCAAGAGAAATCTGCACTGATAATTTGGGTTTTTCGCTCTCCATGAAACTAAGTTCCACTGTGCATTGAAAACTGCTGTTTCCCAAGAGACAACCTTCACACATCCCCCCCCGCCCCCCCAAACACCTACTAGTGCCTTTGCTTTGGCAATACAGCAGCTTTTTCACGTAGCCATGACTACATGGCTAGGGCATGGAGAGACAGGACCTTCAAGATACCTCATTGCAAGCCCTTCCACAGGCAGGGACACCTTCCACTAGCCCATGTTGCTCCAAGCCTCGTCCAACCTGGCCTTGGACACTTCCAGGGATCCAGTGGCAGCCACAGCTTCTCTGGGCAACCTGGGCCAGGGCCTCACCACCCTTACGGCCAAGATTTTCTTCCTAATACCCAACCTAACCCCTCCCTCTCTCAGTGTGAAGCCAAGCCCCTTTACCCTGTTACTCCAGGCCCTTGTCAGAAGCCTTATGACGGCACAGCCCTTGGGATGCTCTTGATTCCAACCAGCTAATCAGCTCCAACCAAGGCCCAAGAGCAGAAACCCACAACCTCACCCTGCCACCAGAGTGCTTCTGTTTCTACGGGTTTGATATTCCTATTAAATGGCAAACCAAGTCACCTCCTCCGCCACCAGCTCCTCGGAGAGGACAGGAGAAGTGTGATACAAGCAAAGTGTAGGACAATCCAGATGTGATCCACAACACCCAGCCTGCTCCTCCACTGGCTCAGCGGACTTGGCAACAAGACCACCAGCTGGAGAAGCCTCTGAGGTCCCCACTCATGCACTAAGTCCCTGTTGCATTTGGTGGGACACAAACACAAAGGCAAACAAGCAGCAGAATAAAAGCCAGTCCCCTTTACTGCCAACAAAAAAGGTTTTTTTTTCTTGGTGGTGGTGGGTGACAGCCACCGTGGGGGGAAGGGATGGACTTGGCCAGGAAGGAGGATTTGCAGCTCTCCCTCTCCCGCCGCCTGGAGAAATGGGACAAACCCGCAGAGTTGTCCTGTTTTTTTGTTAATGACCTTTACACAAGGGGAGCCTGGGATGGAGCTGCTGCCAGGCCTTTCATGTACCAAGAGCTCTGCTGGCTCCCTAAATACGTACCATACCAGAAGTCTTTTACTTAATGAATTGCTCTTCAGAAATATATCAAAGAGCTTCCTACTTGCCACAGCCTCACAGGGGGAATGCAAATAAAGTATTATATAAAATCTTCCCACTGGGTCTTTTTGGGGGAAAAGAAAAAAAAAAAAAAAGAATCCAAACATAAAAGGATTTAAAATGGTTCCATTACCTAAACTTTCCTCATTTATAGAGGTGCTCAGATAACATCTGAAGTAGCTTGGTGGAGTGGTCTCCACCCCAGAGGCTCACACAGAGCGGGACTCTGCTGAGCTTCTGGTGGGTATCACTCCAACACAGTGGGGGTTACAGATGAGCTGAATGTAATTGTGAGACCAGGATGTTCTCAGCACACCAGGAGCCCACAAAACAAATCTCAGGGCATTCCCCCATGAGCAGACCATCTTCTCACAGCCACCCGCCCAGAGGACTGGAAAGACCAGAGTAAAAGGTTTCCCAGGGGTGGATTTTCCCCATTTTTAAGCCACTGCTTAGTTGCCAGACTATGGGAACTGACATCCATATAGTCTCCCACAGATGCCTCACCAAGTAGTGCAAGAGCAGGACAAGTCTGGGACGCTCTTTCCCAGAGATACCCAATGACATCAGAAAACCAGCAATTTAGGAATATCCTGGACTGCAGGTTGCATCAAGACACATATTTTTTTATCCCTAAATTGAATGTTATTCAGAAATTCAAAAATCTTCTTTTATTTGTCATAACCTTGCTGGATCCTACAGAAGAGAATTTCAAAGGCCTCAGGTACTTCGGCATGTACAGGGGGATTTTCAGGCACAGGAAAGTCTGCTTCTCTCTAGGCTCCCCTATAACCTTTAGGAAGCCAATTACTTTTGAAAATGCAGCCCTGGACTACACTGCCTTCACAGAAAATGAACCAGATGCTGAATATATTTCCAGGACTAACCTAGATTTCCATATAAATGCCCTTTCTGATGGCCAGGTTAGAACCACGTGAGGCATATCACGGTCACCGACACATAACCCACATTTCCACAGCAGCTGAAGCCAGCAGAAATCTCGCATCCAAGTACTTTTCAACTAAGACCAGCAATGCAGAAATATCAGCTGGAAACACAATAGGAAAATTAGGAATTCAATTTTCTGCCCAAACCCCTCTAAATCCATAAAAAACAAATTGTAACAAAAAAACCCCCACCCCCTACATCCATTGGGAAATAATTAGTCGGCTTTTTCCTTAGGAGGTTTGAAGAGTGATTGATAATTTTCATTCAAGACAAGCATCTTATTAATGATTTTTTTTTTTTTTAATGTTGAAAGCTAATAGTAAAAACTCAACAGCCAGAAATGGTAATAAACTGCACCTGGTCCTCACCAGCAGCGTTTCACTCATATATCAGTAACAGCGAGAGAAATGCTTGTCTGGACAGAAGAACAATAGCTTCCAGCTCCTCTTTGGTGCCAAGGAAAATTTGTTACTCACAGTTAAAGGAAGCCAAACACAGAGAGAGATAATTACTAGCTCTGCTGCAGGCTGGGAGACAGCCCAAACACCGGGTAAGCAGCTTCGGCATCAGCAAATGGTATTTGCGCGCGGAAAAGAAGCTCCGTGTTGGAGCAGATCAAATAGGTTTAATTCCCAGGGAAAAAAAAAAATAAATTAAAATCCAGCACGAACCCCCCCCCCCAAAACCCACTAAGTTGAAACAAAGGAGCCCACAGCACCAGGCAGATGGAAGAATGCCAGAGAAGTATCACTCGTGCACGACTCCTGCATCCTCCTGTGGTACCCACACTAACAGATCCCATGGGTGAAGAACCAGGACTGGATTCTTCCCCAGGGAAAGCACCTGGTCCTGCCAACACCCTGAGCCACCCAAGGAGGCTCGATGGACAAGGCCAACCTTCCAGCTGAGTACCAGGCATCTGTTTGCAACGCTGGGAGGGGAGCCTGGATGAGGGTTTGCTGATGAATATTTCGGAGCAGATCAAAGCTATAGTAAATTAAATCCACAGCTCCCATCTGGCAACTTCAGAGGTTCATCTGAAGCAGTGTCCTCACTCAGTACAAGCTTCCTGCACTAGATCCTGTCTATGTTGGGTGCAGGTGTTGGTATAGATGCTCTCAGCATCCCTGCATCCAGGCCCGTGGCAGGGAGGGGATGCATGAGCCCCCATCCCAAATCCAGGGATTTCCAGCATGGCTCAATGTGGGAAGAAACTGTGCCCAAACTGAGAGTTGTGACTCTCACTGCTCAAACAGGCGCAGCCTCTTGTACACCCTGCAAGGGTCTCCCAGGTTCCTTCTCACGGATCCCACCTATGGGGATGAACCTGCAGGACATCAAGCAGGGCAAGAACACAAAACCCACCAGTTTGAAGAGCCTTCTCCAGGTAGGACATCCACCAACCAGAGCAACTGAAAATGCTGTTTTGCCCTTTCTCAGATACCTGGGTCTCCTATCTCCTTGGGCAAACGCTGCTCTCACAGAGCTGAGGGTCTCGTGGTGACACAGCAGCTCCTTAGCCAGGTGACAGTGGTCAAACCCACGCCTCTACCCCTCCCAACCCTTTCCCACGTAGGTGCCCACGTAAAGGAGGGACAGTCACCTCCAGCTGTGCTTGGTAAATACTCTTCACTGGTGTTTACATCACGTCCAACCCCCAAAACCGACTCGTGCCTGGCTTCTGTTACTGCACGCCCAACTCAGCCTCTCAGCACTTGCAGTTCTGCTTCTTCTCCCAGTTCACTCTCTCAGCTATTTAATCCTCCTCCCTGTAACACCACCCTTGTGCTGCAGCACATAACCAAGATGCCCAGCTACACAGAGATTCCCTCCTTCCAGCTACATCTCGTAATTCCAAGTCAGCTCTGATGCTCCAAATCCGCCCCTCACGCGGGTGGCAATAAGAAGCTCCTCAGGGATAAACGGGACGCCCCGTATTTTTTTCCTCTTTACAGCAGAGCAATAAGCTCCTGATCAAAGCATCCCATCCACACGTCAGGATGTCGCCCACCTCCCATGGATTTGGCAGGAATGAGCTTTTGGATGCCAAGCAGAGGGACAGGCTCCATGCTGCACGACAAGGCAGCGCAGGAACAAAAGCGAAGGCCTGGGGAGGGAAGAACTAAAGGCAAGCCTTACCTGGTTGTGTTCGTGAGACGACGAGCCCTTCCCTCGGGATGGGGAACAGCTGCCATCGAGCTGCTCGCTGCAATCCGCCGTCCACTGCAAGAGGGATAAAAAAGGGGATTGTGTAAAATAATAGCCTGGGCTGGGGAAAAACTGCTGCGTCAGTCCGGAGCGCACAGAAAACACAGTGCAGCCGCGGGAACCGCTGCGCGCGTGTGGCACCCCCTCCTCTCTGAGGATGATCCCAAAGGCTTTGGCTTGGAAACGCTCCACCCGCCACCAGCAAAACAGAGGGAAGATACAGGAAAAAAAACTGTAGGGAAGCACCTGGAATGGCGCTCTGCAATAAAACCCCTCCCCGATGCTTCCCGGCGGGCTCCAGCAGTTTTGGGAATCTCAGGTGGTACACACTGAGGGAGGCTTGACTTTATTGCTCTTTCCCATGGAGTTCTTCCCATGGGAAGTTGGGGGATTTCTGCTTTTCCTAACTCTGTTTGCTTCGGGGGCAGACACGAGGCCTGAGCTGTCAAACCCCTGTGTTTTGGTTCTAAACAAAAAGGAAAACGAGGATCAAAGCTGTAGGTTTGGCCATTGCCATGTGTGGCCATAGAGGATCACCAGCTGCTTAGGTCAGCTTCCCCCACAGTTTGACAGCAAGGTGCTTCCAACAAAATAATTGAATTTGGGGTCATTTGTTTGGTTTTGGTTATTTTTTTTCCCCCCAAAGAAATGAAGGGCAGCATTTCACACTGGGGAAAGAAAATTAAAAAAAAAAAACAAAAAAACCAAAACAAACTTTCACTGGACAAACAAGAAAGATGCTGATTAATCCTACAGACATTTGGTCACTACTCCAACAAAATTGAAACTGGCCAGCCCCATTTCAGAGGTCCTTCTTCTTGGAACCACTTGGCTGCTCCGTAAGACACTCAGTGCTTGGCACCATCACCAAGGACAACGCTCCAAGAAAATGGAAGTCAGTTCCACACGAACAGCCTGAACAACCTGAGAGCTCCTTGACAGTTATGGATGAGGCCACAAAATAAGCCACCACTAGATCTGCCCATGATCCCTGCCCTTATCAGAGAGCCTAGTCTAGTTCACAGATGGGGGGACCTCAGTCTCCCCTTATTATAGAGGTGCCCATCAGTCTGCTGCCACCTCTGCTGACCCAGCTGGAGAGGCTCATGAGAACCTCCTGCCTATCTCCTTTAACAATTTTGTGTGCCACCACTTGCCTGCAAAGCCCTCTCTAGGCACAGCTCGCTCATTGTTATGTCCACAACCGAATAAAATTGTATTTTCTCTCCGACTCTCCTCTTTTCTCCAGCGGGAGCGAGATTGAAGACACCCACGCTTTGTGATTCTCTAAACTGGTGATGGGTTCAGCTCCCCTGGGAGCGGTGTGAAGGATGAAGCAGAGCACAATGTGCCTCTCCTTCCCTCCCCCAGCACAGAGAGCAGTTGTCCACGGACGTGGTGCCGTCCGAGCAACTCACACGCACACAGGTGAGTGGATTTATCCTCTCCCAGGCAGGGAAAACATTATTGCAGCCATAAGGAAACAAACGACAGAGAGATTAAATAACCTGCCCAGCATTAAAGATTTAGTTGCTGGCAGATCCTTGCAGTTAAAACCAAATTTCTTGGTCTCAGTCCAGTGCCTTTCCCCTAAACCCATCCTTCTTCCTCTAGCTCTCATTAAGAGGGAACATGCCACCTTCTATCAGGACAGCTTCCACTAGCATCACTCCAGGCAGCTGCAGGATATGTGTGGGTTTATCCCTTGCTTTGCTAAGTAGTGGTCAGGGGAAGAAAACCAGAAATAAAAATACCTGATTATTTCCTACACAAACTTGGGATACAAGGTGGTAAAAATGAAAATCTTTGAGAGGCAAGAGATAATTCCTTCTTAATGCATCCATTAAGACATGGGTTGATAAATGCAGGCAACCTATGTAAAAGTCCCTCCTCATTTCCTGTCCCATATACAGCCCTAGAAATATGAAATACCATGTTTTGATGAAGTTTCACATACAAATCTTAATTAAACTTCTACACCAATGGTCTGGGGTACAACCAAATTTAGCTGCTTCATTTGAGTGCCTCTAAAAGCGGTTTAATTAAAAGGTTCTATGTTCAGATCTTTCATGATTAAGTTTTTTTTTTCTTTTAAAGTAAAACCTAGCCATCTTGAAAGGGAACACTCTCAGAACTGACATCAGAAGCCCAGCACTTCCTTTTTTTCAGTGCAGGCCAGGAAGGAAAGCTAAAATCCCATTTCCACAACTGGAAGATGGATTTGGTTGCTGCAATCAAGGATCTTAATGCAAAAAATTGTACATGGGCTGCCACAAGAATTAGCAATTTTTGTCCTCAAGATGCAGAGAGCTTATGTCGAGGAGACCAGGCTTATTGGCAGAGCTATGGACAGGCTGGAAGAGATTGTAAAACTTTGTCCATTAGTTCTAATTCAATACTATTTCCAGTCTTGACATGCTAATAAGCAGTGCTTGTCTGCTTGACATGAAGCCCCTCCAAAGTGTCACTTCAAACACAGACATTTTCCATCCTTGGGTTAAAAAACCCACACTATGAAGTTCTTCAGATCACTGGATTTTTAAATTTATTTTCTCACACTTTCAGCGGCTTCAATCCTCGAATTGCAAAAGACCTCTTCAGCAAAATCTATTCTTGAAAAGGTTCCTCTGATTGGCAGTTTCTTTACACTGAGATGACGCAAACCAGGTCCAGAGCTCTGGGTCGGACCCTCAGCTCCAGCAAACCTGCACAGCCCAGATAAACCAGAGAAATGCTGCTGATATCAGATAAAGCTGGGATACTTCATGTTGGGAATCATGGAATGGTTTGGTTGGGAAGGGACACTGAAGACCATCATCCCACCCCCTCTGCCACAGGCAGGGACACCTGCCACTAGACCAGGCTGCTCCAACCCCATCCAGCCTTGGCTTGGAAACTTCTAGTGATGCACCCTGAGATCCTGAAAACCCAAAACCCAGTATCAGGAGACTGCTACCAACTGGATGGAGACCTCCTATATACATATCTATAAGTAACTATATATATATATATACACACACATATACACACACACACATATGTGTATTTATATATATACTTATATCTATATCCATCTATGATCTACCTATCTATGATGATGATGATGATGATGATAGACACACGTATATATGTATGTATATATATATACACACATCTATATCTATACCTATGTATCCATATCTCTCTCTATATATATATCTCACCAAAAAAGCAAGCTGCCCCAAATCCAGTGTTTTATCCCATTCTCCTTCACGTACAAAACCTGGAAGAGCTGGGCACACATCCCCACAGCCCCTCTCCCAGCCCTGTGCCCTTTCTCCCACCTGTGAGATGTGGGACTGAGTCTTCTCGCTCTCGCCATCCCCCTCCGTCTTGTCCGTCAGCAGCCCCTGGACCTGGTACTCCAGGACGTAGCTGTCGATGAAGCGCTCCAGCTCCTCGATCTCCTGGGAGCGGCTGCTCCCCGCCTCCGAGGAGGCCGATGCCACCGACGAGTTCTCCATCCCTTTGGGAGATGCGCCAAGAACGGAGCGGGCCTGGAAGAGTGGAACGAGAAACGGTGAGGAAAATGTTTCCCAGTAATTACAAGTTAAAAGAAAAACAAAACAGCAAAAACCACCCCAGCAGCCAAAGCCTGTCGGTTACCACGGGCAGGATATTTCATTTGCTGCACATCTGCATTTATAATAATCCCAGGTGGTCACATTTAGAGTTTCCAGGCGTGCAAAAAAAAAAAAAAAAGTTCCATTTCTGTTATATTCCTACATTTAAGGGCCACAGACATTATTTCCTGCCCTCCTTCTCAAAAAAAACCTCCAGACACACGCACAAAAGAAAAACAAAACTAAAATGCTTAATTTAATATAAGTCCACATTTAATATCCTGGATAAGTGTGAGAAGCCAGGAGTGATGGACAAGGGGTAGGAAGAAAATGATAACTGAAAAGCTTCTCTAGGACAGTGGCAGTAAATTATGCCGACTCAGTGGTGCGGCTGTAAATGGTCCAGCAGGGAGGTGAAACAGAGAGCACAACAGAATTTATTTTTAAAACCTCTCACTGCAGGAGAGTGGCTCTGTAGAAGACGTAGGACCTTTATCATGCTCTTCTCCTCTTCCTGTTTCTCCAGGGCTCAATGCCAATCACACAGTAAAAAAAACAAGAAACCACCAGCTCCTGGACCTGTGCCGGGCACGGTGCTGATCTCTCCTTGCTGTAACCAGTGACAGGACCCAAGGGAATGGCCTGAAGTCGTGTCAGAGCAGGTTTAGGTTGGATATTAGGAAAAGGTTTTTTCCCCCAGAGGGTGGTTGGCACTGAACAGGCTCCCCAGGGCAGTGGGCACAGCCCCAAGGCTGCTGGAGCTCAAGGAGTGTTTGGACAACATTCTCAAGGACGGGGTGGGATTGTTGGGGGATTGTTGGGGTGTCTGTGCAGGGCCAGGAGTTGGACTGGATGATCCTTGTGGGTCCTTTCCAACTCAGGATATTCTGTGATTCTATGTTTGGAAAGAACCAAGCTTTGGATGAATGTCTGGTGGTGAGACTCATATTCCTTCTTCCCTGCAGCGGGGAAGGAGAAGACACAGAGCTCCCATCACATTGCAGGACGCAGAGACTTCATCCCTTATCCTCTCCTTCACCAGGAGCTGGTATTTACAGCCTGCTTAGAGACAAGTATAATAATACTAAAGAAATTCAGAGTGACCCACATCCAGAAGGGAAGGGGGAAAAAATGTAAATCTGCTCCCAGCTCATGTAATTTCCAGCTCCTGAACTATTTTCTCATCTGTCACTTCTGAACAATTGTGGCTTCATTTGGAAACTGCCAAGAATGAGCAGTGCTGGCCTAAGGATTTCTTCTTCTCAAGGAATTATTCCCAAATGTGCCCAGACTGTCAAAAAGGCTCATTATGTAGATCAATATCACACATTAGCTCCTGAACAAAAATCATGTGGCGCATTAGAAAGGAGAAAGAAAAAAAGAAATAAGTCAAGAAATAACAAAGGAGGAGCCCCAGAGAGTGTGGAGCCCTGGAGGAGGGCACGCTTCTACCCTTTTTGCTCATTAGTGCCAATTACCAAATGGAAAGAACCAATTATGAAATAGAAAGTATTAAAGAAAGAGGAGAACAGGAGGCTCCCATGAGTGATGACATGAGAAACGACCACATGAGGTAGAGGACAGGTGGTATCACTTGGGATGGTCCAAGCAGGGTCAGAGGTTATCCCTGCATCCCCTGGGGCCACACATTACAAAGCCTGAAGTTGCTTTGCCTATTTTAATGTTTGTTTTTTTTTTTTTTTTTGAAGGTGGCACTTCAGTCACCTTCAGCCCTGGGGATGCTCCCCCTTGAACACCCACGATAAAGCACAAAGTAAAGGAAGGGCTAACACATTCCTCCACTTTTGGGGTGCTCACTGCTGTGCCCAACCAACATTTTGTGACTAGCAACAGGAGAGACAGTGAACTGAAAGGGAGTGGGTTTGTCAGAAGTCGCCAGGTAAAACAAAACAGCACAAACCACATAAATGAGATATTTATGGATCTCCAGTAGGAAACTCTGAAACCAAATCATCTTGCAATACCATCACATCTCTCTAAATAAAACCATCACTTATCAGGAAGAAAACTCCCATTTTCTGGGTCCCACAAGATGATTCCTCTTTGAAGCAGCCTGACCCTTCCAAAGGAACAGTTTTGGAAGTCCTTCCTCCTTGGCAGGAGGTACCTTGGGAAGTGAAGCATCCACTGAGGTCCAGACCAATTCAAGTCCACCTGCAAAGGTTTACTCTCCCATTTAACACTAAACCTTCTCTCCTATTTCAAAAATCAACCCTCTCCACCACAGTTTCCTGACATGAAGGCTGTATGGTCTCCTGTTCTGGTGTCACGAGCCAGGAAACCTCTGTGCCCAAAGCAGGTTTCCCATCTCGCCTCACCCTCAAAACATGTACAAAAAAAAAAAAAAGAGGTTTTGAAAGAAAAACCCAAACCCACATTTGAGCATAAAGGCAGTTGGTATCTTGCCACACCAACAAATAAATGTTCTTGGGAGCTCTTCACGGAGTGGTGACCCCTTGGATCTGTGTTGGCTCGGTGCTAAGAATTCCCAGATCCCAGGTATACATTCCTCAGTGATAATTAATAGAGATCGACATCATATTTCCATTGGATGGGGCTTGGAGCAACCTGGTCTAGTGGAAAGTGTCCCTGTCCATGGCAGAGGGTTAGAACTAGATGACCTTGAAGGTCCCTTCCAACTCAAACCTTTCGAGGATCCTATGATTCCATGGGGTCTATGCTCTGCTCATTACTATGACCGTTAAAGGAGGAATCATCAGCAGAAAAAGGTCAATAGATGTGCAAACTGCTTATTATAACTTAGTAGTTATCAACATTACTGTAATGTATAATTATTATTAATAGCTGTTATTAAGAGTGATCTAAATGGGGTTCTTGCTCCAGAAGGATTATACAGTTTTTATGGCAACTATACAGCTTTACCCTTAATCAGCAAATAATAAGAACAAGCATTTTTTTATGACATTTTAGGTCCATCTCCTTTCTGCCAAAGGTTGCTTCAGGCTTGTTGGACTTGTGGAACCAAGTGGTGAGTCTGATAGGTGAAGAGAAGCAACGGAGAAGGAACCCATTTGGGGCATTCTCACAGGATCACAGAAATGTTTAGTCTGGAAAAGCCTTTCCAAGACCATCGAGTCCAACCATTCCCCAGCACTGCCAAGGCCACCACTCACCCACGTCCCCAAGTGCCACATCCGCAGGGCTTTAAAATCCCTCCAGGGATGGGGACTCCAACACTGCCCTGGACAGCCCCTTCCAATGCCTGACCACTCTTTTGGTCAAGAAATTTTCCCAATATCCAATCTAAAATTCTCCTGGTGCAACTTGAGGTCGTTTCCTCTCATCCTGTTTCTCGTTCCCTAGGAGCAGAGCCTGATCCCCCCCTGGCTCCCCCTCCTCTCAGGGAGTTGCAGAGCCAGAAGGTCCCCCCTGAGCCTCCTTCTCTCCAGGATGAGCCCCCCCAGCTCCCTCAGCCGCTCCTGCTGCTCCAGCCCCTTCCCCAGCTCCGTTCCCTTCCCTGCACACGCTCCAGCCCCTCAGGGTCTCTCCTGTCTGAGGGCCCAGAACTGCCCCAGCACTGGAGGAGCCTCAGCAGGGCCAGCACAGGGACGGGCACTGCCCTGGCCCTGCTGCCACACCACGGCTGGGACAGCCCCGGGGCCATTGCCCTCCTGCCCCCCTGGGCACCCCTGGGCTCGAGTCCAGCCGCTGCCACCAGCACCCACAGGACCTTTCCCAGTTTTCCAGCCCCTCTTCCCCAGCCTGGAGGTGCAGGGGGTTGGTGTGACCCAAGTACAAGCCAGTTCTTGCTCCAATTCAGCAGGACAAAGCAACATTAAGACCTGCTATCTGGAAAACAACTGCACACCTTGCTCCTAGCCAGGGGTCCAACGTGGTTGATCATCAGCAGAGGAAACTGAATAAAGGGATTGCTTTTGCCTGAGCTTTTCTTCCCTTGGATGGATGCTGAAAGCCTAAAATGCTTTTGCACCTTTGACAGTTTTCTTTGAAGGCTGTGGCCTCCAAAGACGAGAGAAAGCAGCACCACAGTCTCACACACATAAACAGTGAATGCTGGAAGCAGGTTTACCCGACAACTACACTGCCAGGAGCCAATACTTGGTGCTAACACACAAGGTGACTGGGAAAGATCTCTAAAATACAGAGTTCAGACAGAACTACTTCATGCATCAGGTTTTTTCACAATTAATATTACATTATTATTTCAAGTTTCTAAAGGTCCAACCACCACTAAATTCCAGTGCAGGGCAAGTGACAGATCATCTTTCCCACATCCTGGCCTCAGCTGTTTAGATATGGGCTAAAATGACTCGCTTAAGGCATTTAATTGAAAAACCCATACCTCTTCCTTAGATATGGATAAAAAAAAAGATATGAAAAAAATCCCAGGCCAACCCTCTGTTCCTCCATGACTCCAAAGTAAGGCAGGAGAAATGCAGAGCAGCTTTTCTCTGCAGACGATTTATCCCTCAGATATGCCATCACAGGCCAGCTGCTGGAAACACAGGCTGTGAGGAGCTACAGAGCTGTCCTGACAGATCCCTGAAAGCCTTTGTCCTGCCACATGGGATTTACCATCCCAGGTTTTTCTAGGAACAAGAGATGCTTCCTAAAAAAAGCAGCTGTGCTGCAAATTCTTCACGTACCAATGCAGCCACCTCCTTCCAAAGTGTTCTGCGACAGGACTTCCATCATCCCTCTTGTGTTTGTTGTCCCTCGGGATTTTATAATAAAAAAAATTTAAATATTGCTGTGACAGGTCCCTTCTGCTCTGAGACATGTGGGACATGAACCAAGCAGTACTTCAGCAGCCCAGATTTACTTGTCCCCCGCCTGCGTGGCATGATGGTAAAACCAAAGTGAAGAGAACCCCCCCAGTGAGACACAGAAAGACTCCAGCCCAGTCCCAGACACCACATCCTGCCTCGTGA